TTTACCATCTTCCCTGGGATCTATTGAAGGTCATTTCACATTTGTTCCCGGCAGGTAATCCATCTGCATGATACTTTACATGTTTGAGTGGTGATATTAAATAAATGGCTTTAAATTCCACTGTAGATTACTGGTGTTTTTACCATTCAGTCTAAGACAAAGTGCCAAATGTGTGTTGAAGAGCAGTACTTCAACAATCCAAACGCTTGGAAATTATTGTAGTAGAGGTTGTAATGACACAGGCTGTACGGAAACTAGATTTTTGGCTCAAAAAGGTAGTCTGGCTGTAACTACTTTCTAACTGAATTCATCCTTTTATTTACTGGTATAGATTGGCACACCCAGAAGGTGCCCCGTTTGAAGTTCAAGTGGCAACGTTCCCCCTACAGCAACCGGATTATGTTTTCTAATTCAGCAACTGAGGCACCAGAACAGGACTGATTCAGGACATTCTCCGTTAAATCAATATGAGAAGACTTTTCAGCCTCAGATGTCTGGTTACGTTGGCCCTAGGTTTCCAGATTGCTTGTGGTGAATAATAATTTGCATAATGATGCTATGCTTCTGTATCTTTGTGAATAATTGTGGAGATAATTCGATGTTGGTTTAGAACTTAATCAGCATCTTGATACTGTGTTTTGTGGCATAAACCAAAACCGAAGTATGGATTGTAAATATGACTTCAGAGTTGGGCTAACGTTGTATGGTTGTGCATGGTCCTCAACAGGAAATTTTTTTTTTTTTTTTTGGAAAAATTGCATTTTGGCTATTTGTGGTTTGCAGTTGGGGCAGATACACGAGATTTTAAAATGTGATATAATATACTTGTAATTTAAAGTAAGTATACATGAAGACTTAATATTTTAAAATGTACACATAAGTACATCAGATTTATATTAAGTACACATATCCATTTGAGACTAAATAAAATATCTTAAATGTTCATATTTTTTCTTTTCTTTTCATTCTGTTAAAGTTAGGCCTTTAAGGGATTTTAAGAAATTTTAAATAATTATTTACATTTAGTGCAAACTTTAAGTATTTATGTATGCATTTTAAAATCAAGAGTATCTATTTATACATATCTAAAATTGTAAGTTTGTTATGTATATATCTTAAATTTTTAAATTTTTATGTGCATTCATCCTAAATCATAAATAGCTGAATCATAAATTTTTTTTTTAAATTTTTGGTTACACAATTGGTGGTAATTAACTTGTATCAAGCAATTTAAATTTAAAATTTCTTATTTTTAAAAAAAAACCTACTACTAAATTACTTGAATTTTTAGTATTATGGAAATAATTTTAAAATTCGATCATTGGAAATAATTTTGCAAATATCCTTATATCTTTTCATTTAGACGTGCAATCTTGTTAGATACAAAAAGTATCCACAATTAATTTTTAAATCCAACTCTTCTGAGATATTTAAATATGGCATTACCATTTATATCCAAATTTTTAACTGTTTAAGGGTATATGCGTACAATTTTTAATATAGTTTATATTTATTTATTTATTATTAAATAAATAAATATAATATTATATATCTTAAAATGTTGAAAAGAGCCTCCCATTAATAATGTATAAAATTATATAAAAAAATTATTCCTCAAATAACTTTTCCTCTTTAATTTGTAAAAGTTAACGAAACCGATGATTGGTATATTAGTGAATCTTATTTTCTTTTAGGAATTGACTACAATGACAGTACAGTTTCTAGCATTCTTTTTATACTAAATAATTCTGGTTTTGCTAAAGACTTAAATATTTTATTAATAATCTTTTTTGGG